TCATGTCTTTAAAATAATATTTTCATGTTAGAGTGTATCGCATACATATAAAGTGTATTGTGTTGGACCAGCTGCAGCAGGCTCGTTGCTGTGCTTATATTCCAGGAGAATCAAAAGAAGTTATTTTTGTTCTGTACCATATCTGATGGCAGGATTGTAGAACAAGGTGGCTGCTGTTCTCATGTAGATTTATATTCCAAAAAATTGAGAAGTTTTTTATTAAGTTGTACATCATGATTTAGTAATCCCACTATGTGACAGCAGGATCTAGGAGGAAATACTTCATCCTATTTACCTGATGAAGATCGTTGTACTGTAGTACTGTATGGAAGCACTGAGAAAAGGAGTACAATTCCTGTGTTGGGGAGAGTGGGATAGGACGCTAGTGTAATTTCTACTGTGAAAAAGGATCTCTAAGTTTATAGGTGTTTTTCATGAGTACTTTGTTTACATGCAACTCATTTGATGGTTAAACTGCATCTGATTATGAGGTGTTTTATGATTAATTTCAGAATTATTTAACCTATGTAAGCTTGTTTGTGTCACTGCTTCAGCAAATTACATCATCAAAAACACTGCATTGTGGAACTGAGGCTGCAGAAAATGAGTTCTCCAGTAGGGACTCATCTACCTTTTCTGGCAAAATGTTTGTCTCAAATGACTCAAGTTTTTCCATGTCTTTCTAGTATGGTTCAGCTAGGACCACAGCTGACTGATCTTTTAGGTGATTGCTTGAGACAAACTTAATCTTACATCATTTTAAGAGAGTCACGCTGTCGCTTTTTATTGTTAATGGACCCCTCATTGAAAAGTCAGAGCCAAGTCTCTTTTAATGTTTCTCCACATCTCTGCTTTACTGTTACTTGGTGCAGTGGACCCTGGGTGAGACGGGAAAAAGAGCCTTCTAAAGTATGTTATATGTGACTTCAGATTCAAACTCCTTATCTGATAGTCACTGAAGGGGAAAAACCACTTAACTAAACTTGCAATTAATTGCAAGCCTCTTGTGGATTAGATTATCTTCTTATATCGAACCATAATTAGGTATAACGTTGACAGATTGTAACGTAAAGTGTGAAAGAACGATGTGAATTTAGCATTTTTTAACATTTACATGATTTTTGAGTAGTGTTTTCTAAGCATAGCAGAGGACTAGTGTCACCAGAAAGTTAAGCATTTCTTAAACCAATTTAATATGCTCCAGTGAATACTAGAAAAATAAAACTATCCATTCAAATTACCTTTTGTTGTACAGATTTGGAACTCTTCTGTGAATCTAGTAGAATAAAAAAGTTCCTTACAGTCTCACTAAGCAGATGTTGATATAGAATATTTTTTTTTTTTACTGAGAGTGCATGAGCCTGAGGGACTAGTGTTCCTAGTTGTATCTTTATTGGTCTGCTGTGTAATCAAATTATCAGCCGATTTTAACAGGGTGCTATTTTTACATTGTTTGTTGTAGTGTGTCCAGCTAACAGCTCTTAAGAAGTCCAGTATGATCAAAAGTGTATTTCTGAAAGCTACTATTCAAAGACATAGTCTAGATGTGTCCAGCAAAAACTGTACTAATTAAAAAACAATGTGCTTTTTCTATTTAACCAATTAGATTATTTTTTTAATTAACTCTTTAAACTGTATATTAAGGAGTTGTGCTCTGTAGGGAAGTTGGGCATTGTTTGTTCCGTAGCCCGTGTAACAATTAGCACCAAATAACTTGTCACTGTTAGGTAATATAATGATACATAACAGCTTTGCCGTACGTCACTATTGCAAGTTCTTATTGCTGAAATCGCAGGTTGGGTATTATTGAGGTACCCTAAACTTTCCTAAGAAAATACTTAAAAAAACCCAGCTATCTGTGTGTTTGTGGTAATTTGGAGAGTCATGCAGTCTGAAATAAGAACAGGTCACTTTGAGCTCCCACAACTCTGACGTACGTTATTTGTGTAACAGAAAGGCAACAGGTTGGGGTCTCGTTTGTGCCTAGCGTTGTGCAAACAAGCTGCATGTTCCAAGTCCCTGTGTTGTGCCCTGAGCGTGAAGCCTATCCTACCGCCCTCGTCTTGGGGCCATTTATTCGTAAGGCACGAGGGAATTGACTGGGTGGGATGCGTGCATCAGTTTTATGCTGTATTCTCAAACTTCTCTTTCAACCCGTACCTTTTGCCTTTCTAGCAGAATATCTTTGTTTCTCCCCTTTTTTTCTTTCTTACTTAAAACTTTCTAATCTTCAGATCGAATTTCAGATTTCTGTGATAATTTTATGTAAACCTAGAGGAATGTGACAACTCGGGGTATCTAAGAACCAAATCTGGTCCTTTAACAATTGCAAAATGTACTCTCAGTTGTGAAAGCTGTCTCTTTCAGTGGAAAAAATACTCAGAGTTTATTTATATTTTAATGTTAATTTGTTCAGCAGTAAGGAAGATAAGTATAATTTGCCTATCGTCCTTAAAAGGCACAGGGAAAAATCTTGTATTGGTTTTAATTGCAATATCTTATCTAAAAGCAGCTCGGTGTCTGTGCAGATTTCTTTGTTCCGTGCCCTTTTCAGAATTTTTTTCAGGGCAGGTTACAGTCTGGGGGATTGGCCCGTAGGAAAGACGGGCGGTTGATGGACTAAGAGTGACAAGGACAAGGCGAAAATTTCATCTTAGTGTCCTCGTCTTTCAGCAGCGCTGATTGCAGCTGGTTTTGATGTAACTTTGGCATTGCTGTAGCCTAGCACTCTTGGCGAAGGAACGCTGAGTGGCACAAGTGACCTCAATTATCTCCTTGGAACTGGGAGAAGATTCTGAAACTGGGAGAAGAAAGGTTTTGTGCAAGTCATACCTTGTGAGGGATATAGCCTTGTTTGAGTAATCAATGTTTGATTGTATTTGAGAATAAATTGATAAATATATTGATTAATATATATGCCTTTTTCTCCTCACATATTTCCTTTCTAACATCAGATTTGGAACTAGCTAGCAAAAACGAACGTGACCAGTTCTGGAAAAGTTTCTTCTTGGTTGTTACATAATTAATTTTCATCTTTCTCCCTCAGCCGCTTCTGCATATATGGGCTGTTTATGCATGTATCTGTATTTTTTTCTCTATTCCTCCCTGCCATTCCTTTATCTGAAAAAACATGGTTATAGATTAGTTAAATAGTAAGGAAACAGCTTTTAAAACTTTAATTCAACCCCCTAATTGGAATAGATTTCAATTCAGCTAGGTTGTTTAAGTGATAATATTTTTGGTGCAGCTTTGTGAGCTAGGAACACTTCATTTGGAATCAGCAATAGGGAAAACAGATATGGGGACATGTAGCTGACACTTTCTCAGGTATGCCTCTGATGGGTGAGGTAGTTCTCTAGGGTTTTTTCACATGAAGAGCTGAAAAATTAACATAGAAGATACAAGTGGATAAAAATTAAGATATTTTTAAATAACTTTGGAGAGACCCTAATATGTACAGCTTCTACTTATGGCAAGGCTAAACAATTTATTTGTGCAATAAGCACCCCTATTTTGCTTGACAAGGAGGAGAGATTAAGACATTCTAATCATAGCCTTTTCTTGGTATTAAGAACAAAAACTAAATAAATTTATTTTCTAGCTGCCTTCCATGTTCATGTGGTGACACCTGTCATGGAGGGAGATGTAGTTCCAGACACTGTTTTCCCACAGTTTTTGAAGTCTGATTGAATTTGATTTGTTCTTCTTCCTGTTGGGGTAGGTTTCACAGGCCGTTAAATGACTACAGTAATGCAGCATAGACATTGACTTGACACAAATCTTTTGTTCACTCTTTCACTTGCTTGGCAGGTCTTTAGGATTATGAGCAGAAATGAGACCTGATACATTGCATGCAATGCTTCAGTATCATAATACAAAGAGGGAATAAGCAATTAATTTTATCTTTGCAGGGAGTGAATGCCTTCAAATATGATACTTTTACTTTGTCCTGAACGTCTTTTGAGCTGAAGATGTAAGCTTCAGGAACAGATCTTCTGAGGCAGCCTGTGATAATCAATAATTTCTTTTCTGTTTTTCACTTATTACTTTTATAAGTTTTATTTTGTCTATTTATTTCTCATGTATAATACTAGTGCTATGTGGTCACATGCTGATTTTAATAAACAGGTTCCTAACAGTTTTCTGAAGTCAGATTTTGAAGACAGAAGCTTCTCTGTCTTACTACTAAGGTGCAAAAGCTTTTTTTTTTTTTTTTTAATTCTCTGTAGTGGAATATCTCTAAGTGATGAGAGGATGTTATTTACTGTCTGTCTTTACTTCCCAAGATGCTTCTGTCCAGCAGATGAGTTGTATGTTTTTAGTGTTACAGGTCTGGTTTAGATTAACGTGGACAGTTGTGGGCTTTAATAACTTTCCACTGGATCTTCTTTAGCACGAGTGTTTTATTAGTATCATGTGGTGTGAAATTAAGGCAAAGGTCATGTTCATATTGTTCCTTTTATCAGATTAATGCAGTTTGTCTCATCCAATGCCAAAATAAATGGGGAGGAGTCTTAGAGGTTTTGGAATTGCTGAGCAGTAAATGTTAAATGTGTCTTACACCACTGTTGGAGGGACACACACAGTATTCTCCAGTGCAAATGGTTTTCCAAGGCAACAGATGGATACTTAAAATCTAAACATGACGAGTATTTTAGTATCGTCACACAGAACAGAGGAACAGCAGTAAGACTCAGTTCCATTTAGTGGGTTATCAAGTAGAGCTTCCATATTTGCAGTTTTCACAGGAGCAAATACCCCTGCCAAAGGCCGTTCATGGGGTGTGTGTACACGTGTACATGCAAAAGAACTTGTTTATTTGCTGTTATTTTATTTCCTTTGTGCAGATTCGTCGAAGGCGCCTTGCTCGGTTGGCAGGTGGACCATCTTCCCAACCTACTACGCCACTTACATCACCGCAGAGAGAGACCCCACCCGGACCACCCGTAGTAGCATCAGCCCCGGGGCCATCCCATAGTCTAGGCCTAAATGTCCATAGCATGACCCCAGCTACCTCTCCAATTGGTGCATCAGGTAGGCTGGCACGTTAGTGACAAAAATTATTATTGCACATCTACTGAAAGTTATGTCACTCCTTATCTTTAGAACGTGAATCCTATTGCTGGTGTTATTTCTGCTGTTACTAAAAATAATTTTCAGAAAGAAACATTCTAAAATGGTGAATGAAGATACTTCTCATTTTCATTTTCCAAATAATAAATGGTTAGATGCAGTTGTTTTCCAGGTATCAGTAAATTAATGGCATTTAAAATATGGGTTACCAAAGGTTGAAGAAGTGTGTAATACAGTATAATATTACAGAATATTGCAGAAAAGAAAGCCAATCTGTCAAGGAGATGGAAAAAAATGCTTTTCATTCTTGCAACACAGTTTTTATTGATTGGTTTCTAGGTACATTTTAGCAATCAGTCCTGAGTTCATTTTTGATCTTTAATTACTAGCATTTGGCACAATTGAAAATAGTAGGCTATGGCTGTGCATTGTCAACATAAGAATAAAGTATTTGCTATCTCCTTTGTATTACTTTGCCAATTTCACTATTTACTGGAGTGAACATTTACAAATGGTATTTATGTCAGAAGATAGGAATAATGCCTGATTTACAAATGCAGAAAGCATGGAAGGTCGGAAGGGTGGCTCTATAGAGAGGTGAAGACAATATTGTTATATGTAATGCCACTTTTGACCTAAAAAATACAATTTTGACTTCGAGTTGGATATCATGGAAATCAAAACAAACTGGCTTGTTTTCCAGTATTGCACTCTTTATCTGAAAACTTAAATTGTTTTGCATGTTATGTTACTAAGCTAAGAGGTTCACAAAACTAATCTCAAAAGAAATGTTAAGATTGTTTTAAACAGGTTTTCAATATGACTTCTAATAATTTGATAGAAATAATATTTTTTCCAATGCTCCTTGATAAGCATGCAGAATTCTTTATCTATTTGCTTTCTGAAATTTTATGGTTTTCTCTTTGGGAAGTACAGTAACTTAGAAGCTTAAATCATGTAACTTAATTACAGTGCTGCTTTGAAATACCTAGAAGTGATTCCTTCCTGCTTATTTTGTTGCCTTGTATCCAAAGCAGGACAGAGAAAAGCTATCAAAGGCATTTTCTGAGAAAAGCTCGTTGCAGATGGAATTTAACACTACATATTGTCCTCATGATTTTAGATGGCAACCCAGAAGCAGAGGTGACTTTTAAGAACAGTGCAGAGTACACTTACTGTATTCACTCAACCAGTGGTTATATGATTATTTTAATCCATTTTAGGTCTGACTCTTTCTGAAAGGAGTATTTCTGACCGCCTCTCCCTTTGCTGTCCATAGCAATGGTGGTGAGGTGGATCACGGACTTAATGCAGGTGAAAACTAACCCAGGAAAAATAAATGGTTAGTTTTCAAATAGATGAGGACTTGATCCATTTTACTGCACAACTTTATAACAATAATGCCAACAGAGCAGGTGGTACGGAAACATGAACCCAAAGCTAGAAATGTTCATGTATTTGCAGACAAGTTTATTGTGGTATGAAGTGGTCAGATAGCTAAGGCCGTAGAGACTTCTGTTTTAATTTTTTAATTCATCTATCTGCACTGGACAGTACCCAACTCTACAGACTAGACTGTTTGATTAACAGAAGTTACGTAGTCAGTATAGTGTTTGCTTCCAACAATGCCATTCATTGCAGTGGTCTAATAACGTGTGTGTGTCTCACACCAGAGTAAGAGATATGGTTACATTGGGGAATAGAGCAGGAAAAAATGGTCACAACTGACTATTTGCTGTATTTATTTAGCATAAATGAAGACTCAGCTAACACTGTGCAGTTTGCAGGAGTTCCTTGGAGCAGTAGACTAAAATGACTGCAGAGGATTTTAATTCATTTGGACATACAGAGAGCAGCCCCAGCAGAACAGTGTCCTTGTTGGCATCCATTTTTATAGTCATATAAGTTTATATAGTCATATAAGTTGGATGTCATAGTGAGATCAGACTTATGCATCAATTTCATGCAAAATATCATTATTTTGTATGTAATCTGAAAATATTTTGGAGAGCCTGAAACAGTGTATCAATGACAGCCACACATACTGATGTGTGTAATAATTTTTGCATGTCTCTGTATGCGGTTGTATTTGCTTTTTTTTTTTTAAAGGAAAACTGGAACTTTGTGTGTCAGGTATTTTATTGTATACCTGATCTAGCAAAGTACAGATGAAAGTAAATTGTGGAAGATTTGTTGTGAAAGGTGGTAGATAGGACAGTTTGTTTGAAGATGCCTGTTAGTGAGTACTGCAGTATAACTGTTAAAGTATACTTTCCTGGCAGTGGGAGTAAGACCTGCAGGGAAGGTAGAACAATGCACTTCTTGACCCTGCTAAGCCATGTTTGCTCTAGTCTCTTTATCCACTGACTTAGCTAGCTTTTTTTTTGGGAAGAGGGAGGAGGAGAGAGGAAGGACTGAAGGAAGACTGCCCCTTTATAATCGGTGATATACTGAAGGAAAACAAGGCTGTCACTGGGATATCTTAAATCAGTGGCATGCTGGAGTACTCTGCTGAAGTCAGCCTTCCCCTGCCGTGGACAGCATGTTTCTGCTGGGTGTTCTCTCTAGGGAAGCTGCATCGTTGAAGTTCCACTTCTGAAAGTTGCTTTTTTTTAACCTGGTTGACCTGAGCAGCTTTGCTCAGTTCAGATGATAGATTTGATATTTCTATATCCTTGGTTTTGTGGAGAAACTGTACTGTTTGGGCCTGTGTCCTGTGCAAGGACTTTCAGTGTTAAAGCTGTAATATGCATCATTACAATCCCAGGACTGGAGGAAATAGCCATTTAAAACTGCAACAGAGTTTTTCTTGACATTTTCCTGCTTCCTGGGTGAAATCTTTTGCAGACATTTAATATTAGCCAATAGGTGGTTAAGTGAAATCTAACTTTTCTTGAAGGCGCTCAGTTCCTATCTCTGTTCTTCTCTTCATACTGAAAACCTAATGAGCTCAATAGTGTTGTTTGAATGTTATTTATGAATAAATTATAATACCCAGCTACAGCCCTACAGTCACTAACCAAAGCACAGAAGCTTTGAACAAAACTGAGTAAAATTTACATTTAGCAAGTATTTTGTGATATGTGCAAGTTGCAGATGCATTCTGTGCTGTCCTGCTATACCTTAGAGTGCTTTTACATGTCTTCAGTTACAGAACACAGGTGTTTGAACAATCTGCTTGTTAAATTCTTTTCTGAATACCAATGCAAGTTAATTTTAACTCACAACTGAGTGTTTTCTGGATTCTGACTGATTTCCAGTCTAATATAAGGAGTTAAATATAAACTGTTTTTATACCCAGGGACGTAAACCAGGAGTTTCAAAGCAGTAGAATGAAGCAACTCTTCCTACCTCCCATGCTGAATAGCTAGTTGTTCTTCAGCAAACTGTCTTCTAAATGGGATTTTTCTGCCTTCTGCAGAAAAATCTTTTTTTTTTTTCCTGCAATTTTGTTCCTGTCAAATGAATTGTTTCAAGACCTAAAAAAGCTTTGGGAAGGGTGCTCAAAAGCAAACAGCTTGTGTCAAAGAGCATAATCCTGGTTTCTTCTGTTTTGATGCCCCCACTGTTAACTTCAGAATGCGTTGCCGCCATAAGTGCGGGACAAGCTTGCACATTTCAGTAGTAACACTGAAATACAGCCAGTGGTGGAATTTAAAAATAGGTTGTCGATCTGGTTTTGTACTTCTCACCTGAAACCTAATACTGTTTGGGGAATGTCTTGTAAACTGCAAGCGAAAGAACCTGAAGGAGTGAAATTCAGTGCTGCTTTCTTTTTAAACAGGCAGACGAATAATACCTTTTTTCTGCTCCTTCAAGGAGTCTGTTTACTGACATGCAAATACCTGATATTGATAAAACTACAGTTACAGCTTGCAATTAATGCTACATTATTATAAATTGTGACTTCAAACAGTGTCACTATGCACAAATTTTAGGAATAGACTACACTAAAGAGCCCTCTCCATTTAGATGTTTGTGGAACTTACTCAACTTCGTTTGTTATTGAATGCAAGGCTTTTTCTGGATTATTATGCATATAACTTTCCTCCTACCATGCTAATATCTAACACTTCTCTGAAGAAGTCTTCAGTGCAAAATGAATCCATCTGTTCATATCCTGACGCTCATCAGCCGTGCTCCAAAGCCATTATATTGCTCTCCATTTGCTGGTGTTGCACTTAGTGCATGTTTTTAGGACTTCTTGGATGCTTATTTTATCCTTGTGGAGAAGGAAAAGTACTGATAATTTACTAGTAAATTGTAGGAGGTTTTGTGGGAAGACTATCAAAACTCTGATTAGTTTTATCCTGTATCCTCACCCAAGTTAAGTCTATTGTAATGACCCAGTGTGAAGTCCTGTTCTGATACGACTGACTTTAGAGGGGCTTTGACAAAGTCTTCAGGTAGTATACAGAGCAATCTTACAAGAGATGAGTATGCTAGTGCTTTTTTAATGGGAGGGAATCTCTGAACGCTTCATGGATGCAAATTTAGTTTTGTTCTCTGCGTTGTGATGCAGGTAAGCATTCCTATATTGCTGCTGCAAGGGGGTAGAAAATGTGATTATCTGTAGTCAAATGTGAATATTAACATTTATTTCCTAATGCATTACTAAGAATGCTTAAGAGCTGGATTGAAAAACAGTATTTCCTCTCCTTTTCCATCCAAATAATTGTGCAGTGCCTTCTCATCTCTGTAGTAGTAATCTTGGTGGTGCCTTTTCCCTAGGAGTAGCCCACCGAAGCCAGAGCAGCGAAGGAGTGAGTTCACTCAGCAGTTCTCCATCTAACAGCCTTGAAACACAATCTCAGTCTCTCTCTCGGTCTCAGAGCATGGATATTGATAGTGTCTCCTGTGAGAAAAGGTAAAAAATGCAGCTTGTATAAGCCAGCAAATATTGTGCAATGCTAATCATCAAAACCACTTACGCAGGAAAATATTCTGCCATTTCTCACTTCCAGCTGTGATAATGCAATAGGGTTAAATGCTTAAAAATTACACAGTGTTCAGACTACTGTAATGCTTTTTCTAGTCTGGTTTTAATGGGAATTCCTGCCCTAAAGTGATGAAAGACAAAGCATTATCTTAGATATTAAGTGATGAGCATGTCTGATGGGGATAATTCAGCTACTCTATTTAAAAAAGAAAAGGTTATGGGATGTGATAGCTGTGTAGTTTGTATTGCCTGCTGAAGAAATTTAGTATTGTGTTTCTTGAAATCAAAATAATGTAATATGTGAAGCATTTATCAACAAGGGATTGTAATTGCTATTTGTGCATATGGCTATTCCTGTTGCATTGGTTTTTCTCTGCTGCTTCTACTTAAGGTGACACTCCTTCAGTCAACATCTTGGAGGACTGTTTGTGGCTTTCTATGAGTTAATGGGCTGCTTTTCTTATTTCCGCTTACAGTATGTCCCAGGTAGATGTGGATTCAGGAATTGAAAACATGGAGGTTGATGAGAATGATCGCAGAGAGAAAAGGAGTCTGACAGATAAGGTTAGTCTGTTTTATGATGGCTGTTCTCTTCCAGACTATGTATATATGTATGTTATTGTAACATCAAGCTTCAGGATTTCATGGGAGAACCTGTTCAGGTTACACGATTTGGAGCTAACAGTCCTGTGTTCTTGGTTTTCAGTGTAATGCATGCTTCTGTTACCCAAAAAGTTAACTTTACTTTATGAAGACTTCACCTCAGACTTGGTAAATTCTGCCTTTGCTTATATTGTTCTGTTTTCCCTCACTGGCAGCCTTACACGGCTGCAGCTTTGCGATCTGTAACGTTCCTGGATCTTGCCTTGCATTCCCTTCTTCCTCAAAAGGGACAACATTGTTTTTTGGAGAAATTTCTTTACTGAACTGTGTGTGTTAAGTGTTCCAAATAATGGAATAGAAGCAGGAACAAAGGATTTAGGATGGAGGAGTGATGCAGAGTTTTAGCTTGCAGTGAGTTCAGTTATCTCCATATTTTGAATACATGCTTTCAAGAGGATGGAACTAGTCCTCAGATGTCATCTGTGAACAATTTCTTCACTGCATTTCCTCATAAAAATTTGTGGGAAGGAAAAAGTCAAAACTTCCAATATCAAAGCTGCATTTCACTTGTCTCAAATTGGTTTATGAATGATACTTGAAAACTCTGAAGAAAACGGTGTTATATATCCTACAACAAAGTGACTTATTAGTGCCAAGATCTATTTTTTAATATGCAGTAGGCCTGAAGAAATATTTTTAAGACACTTCTGAAGATTGGCGCAGCTTATTTGTCTAGCATTTAGAGGTCTGCTAACAGAGTACTGCTTTAAATGTTATGTATGCTGAAGTAACGCTATGTAATAAGATTTTCTTCTTGATGAAGAAAATAAATAAGAATACTTACCTATCAAGATTTGAACAGGTGGTAGAACCTATGGTGGCAGAAAAAGCAAGTAAGCAAGTACAAAGCTCTAACTCCTAAAATTGTCCTGTTTGTCGTTTGATTTTAAGGCCCATGTGAAATAAAGCCATAAAAAAATGGGACATGAGTGTAGTGGAGAGGTTTCCACAGCAGTTCTTGCAGTGTTCATTAGATGTCTTTTGTTTATTTCTGCGCTGTCAGTAATAAGGTCAGTTGGTAAAAGCCTGGCTTAAAGCCGAGTAGCAATAACCCTGCTGCAGAATCCTTTCCAGTCAGTTCCTAGCTGCAAATCAGGCAGACAGCTTGCACCGTGCTACTGGGAAATAAATAGCTTGGAATCAAGGATAGTCTTGAAGGGGGAAGGCAGCGTAAAGTAAAAATAAAGCTTTGCAAAGTTGGTTCAATTCCTCTTCTTCATTTGGAGGCACCAAAAAGTTAGGTGGATTGGAGACAGCGTAGTCCTCAGGAGCAAAAAATTTTCTTGCCTGGCTATCTGCATTGGAAATGCTGTCAATAATAAAGTCTTCTTTGCAGAAATAGGCAGGAGAAGTGGAAGTACTTGAAAACAGTAGAATACTAGTAGAGCGATTAAATCGATAAAAATGTATTAATTTGCCGAAGTTTATTGTTTATTAAATGGTTTCAGGGAAAAGCTTTTGAAAAAGGTACAGTGTTGCTAGTTGCTGAAAAACTCTGATAAATCTAGGCTTACCTGGTGGCCATTATGTGGTCTCAAAAGAAAAAAGGGAGCTTTGCAGTGGGAACCTTGGTGGTTGTTTTTTTTTTTCAGTCTGCATTTTATTTTTCCCCATTGGCTTATTTTTTTCCTAAAAGAAGAGAATATTACTATCTCAAGAAGTATGATACATGGCAGTACAACGTGCACTTGTATTAGTCAAATACCAGAAATCTAGGGTTTTATCTAGGAAGTCTCTGTAAGTCTCACAGAGCTCTTGCGGGAAAATGGCCTCAAAGTTAAAACTTTCAAATTCTATGAATTGTCTGGTTTATGTATTATGTTGCTTTTTCAGAGTTGGTAGAAGAGTGTAGGGGATGACAGAGTTGTGTTGCTGACTTGTCATGTATGTTTTGGAAATATTTTTAAAGGCTTCCTCCCCTCACATTGCAGGGGTAATTGAGTTTTATTTCTTTGTATTCCATCATTTTTTCAGTCGCACACTCAAACCTGCCTTAGGATTGCAAGAACCCTCCCATTTAACCTTTGCTAGCCACTATATATGGTAGTATTCTTTTTTAGAGAAACTAGTTTTTCATTTTGAGCTCAGTTTACATGATACTCCTTTTTTGGAAGAAAGGGAATGAGGCAAATTCTTGAGTCTTTTGTCCTGTCCTGACTTCATTCAAGTGAAAGATGTCTTTATCTTCGGCAAAGATTTGGGAAAGACTTGGGGAAGCTCACACCTTCCTGTGCTTTCATTTTTACAAGAAACTCTTAAAATACCTGTGCGTAATGAAAATCTGAATCCCAAATTAATTCCTTAAATGAGAAATCATAGGTGTCTTGGTTAAATGTCTTCCTACTATACTGTTTTTGAATGTGTTTGGGGAATTTCCTTCCTACTGGATTTGTGTATTTCTGCTGCATCTTTTCTACATCTCTTATGTTTCTTCAGGGTTTTTTCCCAAATAAATTTTGACAAATATATCTATATTCCTTCATAAGTATACAAAATCTGCTATTCAGAGTTAATCTGAAGCTGTTTAAAGAAGACCTGCATCTGATAAAATGGTGACTTGACTAATACAATTGCAAATAAGTTGGTGGTTTGTGTGTTTTTGGTTTTTTACCCCCCAAACCAAGGAACCTCTGTCTGGGTCTGAAGTATCTGAGGAGCAAGCGTTACAGCTGGTCTGTAAGATCTTCAGAGTCTCTTGGAAGGACCGAGACAGAGATGTTATCTTCCTGAATTCACTCTCTGCTCAGTTTAAGCAGAATCCAAAGGAAGGTAGGAATCTGAACTGTTACTGATGTCAGGGACTGTTTCAGTTGAGTGGCACGTTCCCTACTCTTATTTTTAGTTTTTTCTCTCTGCTACAATGCAAAAACTACAAGAAGGTGGCTCCGGCTTGATTTCAACATCTGTTATAAGAAGATGTAGCAGGAAATTGCATCCCTAAAAAGGAATGAGGGACCGATTGGTCATAGCTTCTGTTCTACTCAGTTGCTATGCTCTTGTTGGTTATGGTTTCTGTTGTCAAACTAATGTGCTGATATTGCAGTGTAGCTGGATTTTTTTTTTTCCAGAAACCTTTTACTGACTTAATGGGCTGTCTTGCATCATAAAAGACATTTAGCAGTTAATTTGATAAGCTAAGAATTACTGATTTTATATAACGGATTATATTGTATATGTCAGCTATAAGATATGACCAAATTAAAAATTGTTACTTTATGTGTGGGCATATGTGGGGTGCGTGCGCGTGGTTTTTTTCCTTTCTTTATGACAACTTGCCCAACTCAACAGCAGGGTGGGAAAACAGGAGAGGGATGGACAAGACAAATTAAATTATCAATAATAACATTAGGTCATCTATAATCTTTTGTACTTTCCATAAAAGTTAGGTTTTGTGTAGCTGTAATTCTAGAACCTAGTTAATAGTCATAGTTACGTGTCAGTCTATTGTTTTTGCCAAAAGCAGTGCTTAATTCACAGAAGTAAATTACTATCCTTTTTGTTTGAAATCTCTGATAATGTTTACATCGCTAACTAATGTGTAGGTGAAGACAGTAGGTGAGGATATTAACTCTCTTCTTTTATTTTTAACAGTGTTTTCAGATTTTAAGGACTTGATCGGGCAGATTTTGATGGAAGTGCTGATGATGTCCACCCAGTCAAGGGATGAAAACCCATTTGCTAGTCTGACAGCTACATCACAACCAATTGCTGCAGCTGCCCGGTCTCCCGATAGAAGCCTGATTTTAAACATGGGCTCTAACCCAGGAAGCAGCCCTATGTTCTGTAATGTGGGCTCCTTTGGTTCCAGTTCATTATCCAGGTGACTTCTGATTATAACTGAATACTGATTTCACTTGAATATTGACTTGTAGAGTAGGGGAGAGAGAAGGGCATAGACATGTCCCAGGAACAATGAATAGAATAGATTTTTTTAAAGTTCTTCACTCTTTTTCATGTGAATGTCCCTCCATTTCACCATTTTTGATTACATTGCCAGAAGCGGCTAGAACTGTATTGATAGGTTAAAGCCATATAGCTGGTTCCTTCTGAGAAGGATCCCTGACTTGCATCATTGAAGGCTACAGCTCTTAACTTAAAAGTGTGTAGATTGTGACGTAGTTTTATTCAGCATTAGTAAAAAGGAATAATGTGTGTGAGCTGCAGAATTATTGCTGAAGAGTCATCAGAAGGGCAAGGGCTTCTCTTGCTCATTTTATCTTTTTCACCCTTTTTCTGCGTATCCTAAATCGTTGCTTTTTTTTTTCTTTTTCCCCGTAACTGGTTTAGTCTCTATGGGACTAGTCCAGCTGCTACTACCAATTTCACAAGCTATGTACCAATGACTGGTTCATCTCTTACCCCACCAGCCAGTTCAGTTGCCACTACATCTGTGCCTTGCATTACTGTCAGCTCTCACCTCACAGCAACAAGCCCTTCTTGGATGCAACCTTCCTCTCCGAGGTACCGGCCATACACTGTTACCCATTCTGGAGGCTTTTCAGCTTCTCCCATCCCGCGTTCCTTGAATATTTCCATCCCATCTAGTTCACGAAGTCCTCCAGCCATGGCTGGTAGCCCTCCAGCCATGCCAGTCATCACATCCAGACAGAGACCCACAACAATGGGTCCACCTTTGTTTACTGCTTCACCCAGTACCTTGCGCAGGCGTTCTCCTTTACTGAACAGGATTCCTTCTAGGTATTTCACAAGAACAAAAGAGTGTGTTTAATGTGTGCCGTGCAGGGTGTGTCATAATCGTGCAATTTGGAAGAACTTACGTTTGTGCTGAGCTCACCCTACTTACCCTGAGTTGGTTTCTGCATTTTGGTTTGTGCTAATATGTTGATGTACTAACAACCCGCCTTTGCCAAAATGTTAAACCTGCTTCTGTGAGCATTTGAAGTGTAATGTAATTACTTTAAAGGTAGCAATATTGTTTTAATTTCCTCCTCTTCTTGCATCCATTCCAGTAAACTATTTGATTTCTGTTCAGTTTCTACTGCTGGATAGTAAACCAGACCGACCTCCTGCTTTGAAATCAAGTTTTCTCAGTAGGGCTTTAGTTGTTTTCTTGAAACCTGTTACTTGCTGGACTGTGTTAGATTTGATTCCCTAGTGCATAGATTTAAATTACAGATGAGCCTATTTCGGTATGCCAGGCCAAGTACTACAGCATTTCTTCTGTTGTCTGCTCCTGGAATCCTCAGTCCCTGCAGGAGGGAGAAACGAGCATGCAAGGTTTTGAGACCACTGCTTTAAAGTTCAGTAGCTTAGAATTGTAATACTTATTATTCTGTCATGTCTAAACATTCTCACTTCAGCCATTATTTTTATTAGGTCTCATTCTTTTTAAATTCTTGGTTTGTGAATGTGTGGTGTTTTGATATGTGAATAACTTGTAGTAGTGTAACAGAGCATGTTAGTATAGTCTCGGTTTTACTAACATGGGAGTTATCTGCTGTCTGCATGTTTAGAGAAGATGATTTTTGGCAGACTTACAAAGAAAAGCTACCATTTACTTTTTCTTTTGGCTTAAAAAAATCTGATGGCCTTTTTCATTTTTGTTGTGGTAGTATATACGACAACCCTTTCTCCCTCCTCCTTCTTGCCGTTTCTGATGTGTCTGAGGACAGTAGTGATGAAGAAAATGAAGATGATGATTTTTCTTGTGTCCAGTTTGGGTCCAGGTATTGGAGAAAGAGAATGTAACCTGCATGTTTGGTTGCTTAGGATCTAAGAGTCTATGTGGTGTCAAGTGTTCTTCAAAGTAACTTGGGAAGTGACTAAAGCCAGGGAGATGACTTGGATGGGTTTTTAAGATGGTGTATAAACATGTATAATAAATGCTAGTTAGTCAGCTCTTTGAAGAGCTGACTAAGATAAAGCAAATGTTAATCACACTGCATTTTAGGTTTAATGAGCATGGTTTCTGAAATGATGTTTGAGTGGAACTCTGTTGACTGTATGAGTAGAAAGAATATTATTCACTCATGGTTGTAATTTTAAAACCAGTGGTACATTATGTGCATGTTTTCCTATCAAAAACTGGAAAATGAGGACAAAGGTTAACATATAGGAAAAGATATAGTGGCAAATAGCCAGCTGATGCAAACAGTATGACTTTGTTGAAGATTCATTGTTGCATGACAGCTGAGGATTGCTCCTCTAGCCAGTAAAGAAAAAACACTGGAAAGTTTAAACTGATCCTTTGATGTGCTAAGTAGTAGAGGCTGATGTAGTTGGAACAGTTGAGGATGGAGGGGTAAGAGCAGAATATTGTACTGTGAAACAAAGACTTAGGAATTGTATAGCAAAGCCTTTTAGTTTGCGTGACATTAAGATACGTGAAAACAAAATGAGAATTGATGTTAGTGAGTTCTGTTTGGAAGCTAGCCAGATAGCTGTGCAAAAACCCCTGCATAACACTGGACATGCCAAGGGGAAAAAAAAGCTCTTGGAAATGTAAATACAGGGTAGGATCTTCTCTAGTTTTACATTCCATCGCAGAGTAATGCTGCAATGTCTTGGCTGGTACAGAAATGTTTTCCCAAAGAAATGCCTCCTTCTTTTGTATCAACCCAAATTGGAGAAAAGAATAAATGTTTTATATAAAACCCATGTATTTTAGGAAGATTTTTCTGAAAAATGATACTTCTGTAGTCTTGCTAGTATCCTGAACGTTTTCTATGAGCAGTCAGACCCCTGATTATGATTGATATTAATTCTGAGGTGGCCTATGGCTGGCCAGATAGCCTGATAGAGCCAGTTACAATTTACAGATGTAAATTTACGGATGAGAGTTTTAAGGGTTACATGCATGTTGAACAACTGGGAGGAGGAGAGTTCCTCCATGGCTTTCAGTCCCCTTTGAAGTATTTTAGTTACAGCAAAAGTCAGGGAAGATCTAATTGCTTAAGCCTTCTAAAACTAAGCTAGGTCAAGACTTTAGGAAGTATTTTGTGATGTCGGGGAATGCCCCAAAAGACTTGGTGTGAGATGATCTTTTTTTCCCCTCAGTAGCTTTTCTGTCTGTGATTAGCAGTAGCGTCCCAGCTTGCCACAGGAACAAAGTCAGACTGTTAACTAGAAGACCTTCCAATAGCATCTCCTCTTTTCCGTTCCTGTCTAATTTCAGGAGAGTGGATAACACAGGTTTAGGGGTTTTTTGTGTATGTTGATTTTAGGATTATTTTTCCCCACTGTTTTAATTTTTGTCCTGTTGGCAACTTAATCCAAATGTTGGATGGAGCTGCAAAGCCTTTTGTAAGGATTTCTGAGGCTGCTATGCTTCTAGAGTCTTAGTTTGTGTATTATGTCCTGGCATTCTGCAGACAGCAGTAAGATGTTAGTTAAATTATAAACACAGTGACTGTACAATTATGCAACAACTTGCATTCTGAAAATATCAAGGCATTCAATATGTGTATGAAGGATGTATGAGCTTTGCATTAGAATAATTTCAGTTACTGCTGCAGTGAAATCTTTAACAGAATGACTAACTATGGAAGTGGTAGGCTCTTTACATAAATTGATGTTCTTAAAAGGGTAATTTTTAAGCAGAATGTGAGAAGTCAACAGGTTTAAAAGAGAGACGATAGAAAAAATATGTGTATGATTTCATGGTTACTGAGTACTATTTTAATAGAGCTACATTTTACATGGATTATTTTTAATTGAATAACTGAAAACAAATTCTCTCTGCAAAAAGAGATTGCTGCCACTAGAAGTTATGTTTCTGAACATGCTGAGCTACCAGATGCTTAGCAATAATAACTTTTCCCTGATTTATTGGTTGGACTGTAAAGCTTGTACAATAGATTTGTACAGCTTGATTATTAAAATGTAAATTAGTTTACAGTTTAAAGGAAATTCCAGTATTGACACAGTTTGTAGTTTTAAATGTGTTTTTAAAAAGCTGCATTTAAGGAAACAAATACTCTTATTTTCCAGTTTAAGATCTGGGGCTTATAAACTTGGCTTCATTTAAATCCACCCTGACTGTACACAGACTTTTCTTTGAGGAATAGCAGTAGACCATCCACGTAACTGCTATTTTTTAAATTCCATTTACATAGTGATATATCTTGTCTTAATTTCCTTCTGTAAAATGAGGATTTTGCTTTTAATTAGCTTTGCCAAGCTGTTATGTAGAAAAGAATTCTGTTGAGATAACAAGTCTGAGACTGAGAGTTGTGGGGGTCTGTTCTCACTTTTTGTATTTAATTTCTCTCTCGTCTCAAGCATGGTTTTCTTTTTGTGATTACAATATCAGTGTTTTCTTATTTTTGCCCCTGAGGCTGGGCTGCTTAATGAAATGGCATATTTTACTGTAAGGGAATTGAAATGAACTGAGTTGAAATTATCGTTAATGTGGAAACTTTAAAAGGAGCGGTTGCTTTGATGTATTGCCTCCTGTGGTGTTTATTCTCCTTCTTCAGAGTATATAAGGTGGTTGTCTGTAGCCCTGTCTATCGGCTAAGGTCTCCTCTCTGCAGTGGGAGGTCTTATGTTCCATGGGTTGGCTAGTGTTAACAGAGTTGGTGATACTTCTACTGTTTTGAATGCAATATTCAGAGACTGGGCAGAAACTCTGCAGAGCTTGCATCATGGCACGGAAGTGGTGTGATGTCCTGAAACAATTTTGATGTCAGGTACAACTTAAAGGCTGTTCATTTTCAGTGTTGCCATGTGAGAACAAGATTTATTGATACCCATTAGTCCTGCACCTTATTGCTGTCTTTCAGATACTTATTCATTTAATGAGATAATTGATTCTTCAGTCATGTTACAGTACAGCTAAACTTTCAGAGTGGACAAGCTGTTAAGTGGAGAGCTCTTCATAGATCACAGAAATGATCTTAATTATTGAGCCATGTGTGATGGGATGCAGTCTTCAGAAAATTGACAGAGGAAGTCAAGAGCTCATGAATTATTTGATGGTGCACAAATGAAGAACTGTACCTAATGCTTTGTTTCTTCTTTGTGTGTGTTAAAGTATGGGAGGCTCTGGCAGCTCAAGTGTTTCAGATTCCTGCAGTGACCACTTCACCATTGAAAATTGTAAGGAGACAGAGATGCTGAACTACCTCATCGAGTGTTTTGACAGAGTTGGAATAGAGGAGAGAAAAGCACCAAAGGTAAATTTCAGCCAAGTGAAGCTGTATCAGGGCTGTCACAGATGCTCCCCTTACTGTTTAGTGGGGAAAGCTGGTGGAAACTGATAGTTCTTTCTTGATGGCTTTGTTGTAGAAATAGAATTACAGGATTTATAAGTTTGAGTCCTATTAATTCATCATATCTGAATCACGTATATGTTTTAATCTCTAAGATAAGCACTATGTTAGAAGCTGTCCCTCACCTTTCAATCTACTGCCTTTTATCCAGGTTTATTCCATGTAAAACATGCTTTTGTGAGACCTGCTCCCTATCAGCATTCCGTATTCTGCTTTAAGCTTTCGCTTCTGGGGAAGAAAACAGCCAATGCTTTTTTCTTTTATATAGTCTGAAAGGTTTTTAGCTGGAGTAGTGCTAGTCTTAGTTTGCATATTACATTCATACTGCATGAATAAAGAAATTTGCCATATTTCCTGTCTGTTCTGTCTCTGAATACTTTTAGTTTGTATTAATGTAAAGTTATTTTTATCAGATGTGTAGCCAGCCAACAGTTAGCCAGTTACTGAGCAACATCCGATCACAGTGCATTTCACATGCTGCTTTGGTGCTACAGGGATCCTTAACACAACCAAGGTAAATACAGCTGATGTTAGGCATGACCGTTAGACTGTTCTGGGATGTTTTTTATTGTTTTTTTTCTTCTGAGGATTAGTTAAGAAAACTAAGACCAGTTGTTGGAGCAGGATGCATTTATGTGCCAGAGGAATAGTTCATTGCTTTACCATTGGAAGCTGTTGCTCCCACTGATATGTTGGTGGAGAGCAGTTTAAGTGGTTTTGTTCTAACTCTGTTTGGGTAAAATCATCCAGGTTGATTTGAACAGTTTAAGTGGGGGATCTGAGTTAACCAAGCTGTTTTCTGCCTTACCTTGTGCATAAACTGTTTGACTTGCAGATTGTTGGGGCACTGCTCCTGTGAAAATCAGTAACCAGTAGAGCTACACCTGAGAAACAGTCTTATCAAAATGTGTAGCAAAAACTGCTAAAGTGCCATAGCACTTGTTTACCTCATCGAGTTTACCACAACAGACTTGGTAGTGTAAATCTGTGTGTAGATATTCGACACTAAATCAGGACTCAGATTTCAAGTGTGGTCATTTCAACAGCAGCTGTTTGACTAGCAGCCTGTTTAGTAGGAACAGTAAAAAGGTTTAAAATAGGATATGTGTCTTTCACTAAAATCTGTACAATTCTATATTTGTGTTTCCAAACAATGCTTCCATAATCTTTAAAGCTGCACCAATTATCCACTGTTCTTTGAGTTAAGTTTTGTCTTTATGTGAACCAATGTTGACATTAGAGTTAAAATTTTTTATATGTAATAAGGAAAAAAGACACTTTTTAAAAAATCCTAGGGAGCAGTTAAAAGTAATGACTGTGTTAATTCAGAAAAGACTAATGTTATGTTCTTTTTCTTAATCTGGAAAAACATACATCAAAAAAAGTTGTTCCTTTACTAGTTGAGCTTCACAAAGGGTCTTTTCATTAAACAGAAGTAGAAGGGAGAACACAGAAGCTGTTATTTTCTCCCAATCTCATTAAACTAAAGTGTGATGTTGGCAGCAGCATCTGTTTCAGAATAACCTTTCCCCAAGTAACTTCAGAAGACAGAGTTAGTTACTCCTGAAAGGAGTAGGGTGCCTACATGTTGATAATACGCTTTCTGGCACATCCTTAGGTGTGATCACTGATATTTTTGCAAATACCACTGCAAATAATGAGTAGTTTGGTTTTTTTTTTTTTTAATACAAATAAAGGTCATTGCAGCAGCAGTCTTTGCTGGTACCATATATGCTGTGTAGGAATCTCCCATTTGGCTTCATCCAAGAATTGGTGAGAACAACTTATCAGGATGAAGAGGTGTTCAAACAGGTAAGGCATAAGTAAAAATAAATAATTATATCATATGATTCTATTATTTGCAATATCCAAGAGAATGGATTTCTAGAAGTTTATTTTGTATCTCACAGTTCTATATTACTTCAGGGGCTAGCAACCTGTGAAGCAATTGGAGTTTGTTTTTTAACTCATTTAGCATTTTGTGAAAAAGACTGACTTTCAGTCAGACATTACTGATTTTCATTATTTCATTATTCTAATTATTAAAAGTGCATTTGTTAATAAGCTGCACACATTTATGTAACAAAGTGAACTACTCAGAATATGCAGACATATATTATGGGATTGATCATCCTCTATGCCTTTGTACAAAATATCCTAAAAATGTGTGTCTAAGACAGCAATCTTCTCTAATTGTACTCAGAAAGATTTATTGTTTTTTCTATCTTGTAATCTTTACCCTTCTTTGCAACTTCCATACTTTGCATCTAAGGTGCTAAGAGCATTTTACAAATTCTAGTACAGTAGGTCTTAATATTGTACAGAGGACATGACTGAGAAACATTAGATGGTTTATTCTGTGTGTCAGAGTAGTTCACGAAGATGATAAAAATTGGAACTGATGGGTCTAGTAATTAAGACACAAAACTAGAAACTTCTTCTGGCCTATATAAGTAGATCAGTAAGGTTGTGATTGTCTCTAATTACCACCTCTGTAGTATTATGTGACTTAACAGTTAAGGGGCCTTCAGAATGGCATTTTGACCCTTCCAATTTTGAAAAAAATTACATTAGCTAATTTTTATGTCTAATGCAAGTACCTTTTAATAATTTATATCTCTGGAGACCTTTTAGTAGAGGTTCATGCAGTTGAAAGTACATTTAAGATTGTCAAAAATTAGTTATGGAAAGTGTTAAAGGTCACCTACCCTGGAGAAGAGAACCATTCCTCTAGCTGAAGCAGACAATCACCTTGTTATAGTCCTTTTCTGTACTATGATTTAATAATATTTTTGTCTCTTCATAGAAGCAACACAATATACTTAAAATTCACTGAGACTTCTTGTTTTTATTGTTGCAAAATTAATATAGGAGTTTATTTTGTGAGGATATAGTTGTCAGAGCTGTGTGATTGGGACATACTAATTGGGTGTAATTATTTTTGATTAATAAGTTCCTGTCATGTCACTTCCTCTCTCCTAACAATCCTTAACTGTTGCTTGTTATCTTTACCCTTACCACAGTTAGAACTTACCAGCACAAAACCAACTTGCTTATATGACATGCAAAATTAAAGCTATATTATTACCCTAAATGTATAGGCAAATAAATCATTACCCATTTGGGCAATCAAGTTGTTGGGGACCTCTACAGAACTTGTGCTCTCATTCGTGTTTGTAACAAACATGCTCTCACCCACGCATACAGTATCTGCAGTGACGCTGTATGAAATGTGTGTATGCTTCCCCACGTGGTTTCCACACGCAAAGAACTTGATGGAACAACACCTGATTTTTGTCAGTGTGCTGACATTATTTGTCAGCTTCAGCTTAGGTCTAATTCTAGATGTGCATGTCTCAAGGGTTATTTGGTTTGCAAAGTAAACGTTTGGAAATAAGTTAGAACATGATCAGGAAAATTACATACAAGTGCTTGGAAAGAAGTTTTTATGCGTAGATTGTTATGCCCAGACATCCAGTCAGTACATCATTTACGCTATATCAAATAAGTTGGTTTTTAGCTTTGAATAATCTCTTAAACATTCAAGCTTAACTGATGCAGATTTAAAGAAAATATGGTAGTTTTTCTGTTGGGTAACTTGCAGTATTTAAAGAATGAACAAGCATTTCATGCTGTGTACAGCAAGTGTCATTTGATTGCTTCCTATTCTTGAATAAAGTAATTTATGTATGTTTTTACAGATCTTTATTCCCATCTTACAAGGCCTGGCTGTAGCTTCCAAAGAGTGCTCCCTTGACAGTGACAATTTTAAGTACCCCCTTATGGTAAGGACTGTTCATTTCTAGAAGCCGTTTCTTTGGATTTCTTTGGTTAGCAGGTTACTATTAAACTCTATGTTGGAGGCTTAATGTGGTGTGAGATGTGTAGAAGATCATTGGAAAACCTAGTAGAGTTTAAGGCTAATAATATCTTAAGCTTAACCTACAACATTTGTATAGTGGGCTATTCAAATGTTTGTATGCATTGCTTCATATAAAATAATCAAATGTATGGATTTCATCATGCATGCTAGTTATAATACTATGGATGGTTATAAAGTCTTTCTAAGCTCCTCCCAATTTAAGTGTGGGAAATAAGGCCCAGTATGCACACCAGTGGTGGTTGGACTCAATTTTGTATGTGGAAAACTAAAATCTGTCGCATTAAACCCAAAATGACTTGAATTGGAGACTATTTACTGTAGGAAAATTTCATAATATTCTTTGGTTGAAAAGTTGGGAACTTTATTTTTACGTTTTTTTAAGTGCATACTTTAGTCCCTAGATTTGCTTCCCTCCCACTGCTTTTATTGACAAAACAAAAAAGTCTTTTGAAAAGCGTGCTTGGCCACAAAAGAGCAAGCTAAATTCTTGGCTAAATTGAGCATTGTCAGCTCACACCTTCAGATTTTAGGATCTTCAGCATATGATGCCAAAAAAGGCTGTTACATCTCAGGTTTAATTTGTACTTCAGGAAATTGGCTGGACTGGGGTGCTGCAAATCAAATTGACTAAGCAACTGTGGTACTCTTGCAAAAATAAAATTTTTTGCTGGTTCTGTGGTTTTTCTGCTCTTGTTATTCCCCCCCAACGTAAATTGTGAACTGTTGCAAATTTGGCTATTGGCTACAAGTAAGGGCTACTTGAAAATGATACTTTATTTTGATCTTCTCTTGTTAGCACAGTGTGCACCAAAAGGATGGAATAGTAGTTACTAGCTACAGTATAATTGAAGAATGAGAACATATAATACAGGAGAAGCAGGATATGTGAAAACCTACAGTATTTTTATGTTTTCAGAATTGTCTGTTATAACTGCTTTCTTTTTTCTGTGCTGCAGTTGAAAGTGAGTTAGAGATCTTGGATAGGATTCTTTGTTTCTGGCTTCTGTGTTCATCTGACATTTTTCCACTCTGATTCAAAAGACAAAGGCCTTGGTGTATGTATAGAACAATTGCTCGATTTATTATTGTTACTGACTTTTTATGTGGCAGTTCAGGAGTCCAGCAAAGGCATTGTTATGTTCTGGACAAACAAACAATTTGCACAGCTAATTTTTTAAATAAGTGCAACAATTTATTATCCTGTGAGACATGTTAGCTTTTTTGAGACAACTTGGAACAGACGTAAAAGCTAAAATGGGAGCAGGATGTGCTCTGGCTCTTTTTGGACCTCTTTGCCATTGTAGAAGATGGAAGTTTTTCCACTGGTTAAGGGGAAAAGGTTTGGCTGTTGTAGCAGTTTGCCATGTTAAGCTTGTTATGTGCAGACCAGTTACTTAAGTTACTTTTGTGTGCAATTCCTTTCTTGGGATTTCTTTATAGGCACTATGTGAACTTTGTGAAATCAAGTTTGGGAAAACACACCCTATGTGCAGTTTGGTAAGTGTATCCAGTCTGATTTTTTTTTTTCAATTTAAAAAGACCGTGTAATTTATTTTGTTGTTGGTATTGTATGATCCCCATTGATAATGTTCTGAAGAACTCTAAACCGGGACTACTGTAGTATCTCATGCTAAACAGTAGTTTAAAGTAAACTGGTAAAGAGAGTCTTTTTCCCTGAGAATTTAGAAAAACTGGGACAAACAAGACTTGCTTAGATACTGAGGAGGTGTTTCCATTGAGCTATCAGCAGGACTGACTGTTGGAGAATCGAGGGCATACGGCAAACACTGAAAGGTGACAGTGCAGGTATAGTATGGCTGATACGGCAGCTTTGATTAACCTGCTATTTCTTCTGTTTTCTAGGTTGTTTCTTTGCCCTTGTGGTTGCCTAAATCTTTAAGCACAGGTGCAGGAAGAGAGCTGCAAAGACTTTCCTATCTTGGAGCCTTCTTCAGCCTCTCTGTCTTTGCTGAAGATGATGTAAGTGTGGTGTAGTTTTTGTTTGGTTCTTTTGGGTTTTTTATTTGTTTTGGTTTTTCCCCTTCCCCAATATGTTCAATATATTTGCTAATATTCATTCTACTTTCAGAACAAAGTAGTTGAAAAGTACTTCTCAGGGCCTGCCATTACTCTTGAAAACACCAGAGTTGTTAGCCAGTCTTTGCAACATTACCTGGAATTAGCAAGGGTAAGTTCTTATGTTTAAAAAAAAAAAAAGCAAGCATACTGTGGGTTTTTTGGTCTTGACATAGAGGAAGAATGTACTCTAAAATAATGTAACTTCTATATTAAACAATGAATTTGTTAGGATATGGTTTTAAGAGGAAGAAGAATCAGTGCTACAAATACTTCTCTAGGGCTGTAAGCCAGTTCAGAAAATAACAGAACAGTTAGTCATGGATTATAGTTTATGTTAAAGAATGAGTAAAAAAATGCATACTGTATTAGTAGTTTGTGTGTTGCACTAGTCTTATATATAAATCTTTTCTGTAACTAATTTCATAACTAATACATGCGTATTATGTTGACAATAAGACCGTAACAGAAGTTGTAGTTAGTTTTGTGGAATTTGTAGAACGTAAAAAATATGGAGCAACAGAAAGCAG